CCYSSGGGCTCTGTCCCGCCCCYACCCGTCCTCCTCCTGCTGCCAAGAGCCCCTTTTTTGTCCCATTTGGCTTTGCTCCAGCCTGGAGCCTGCAGGGCTGGTGGGTGCCCCATGTGAGGCCACACGTGGGTGCAGGGGCTCCCAGGCCCCGGGCCAGGCAGATTTTGGCACGCCTGGACATCACATGGTTAGTTAGGCAGGAGGTGAAATGAAGACAGGATCAGGGAAGACTTCCTGAGTTTTATTATCTTCAGAAAAAAAAAAAAAAAAAAAAAACTGTGACAATTCCCACTGCATCTCCCCCCCTTGGAGATCCTTACCCTGGGCCAGGATCAAAGCTGGAGCTGAGGCTGTGCCCGCTGTGCTCTCTCCAGAGGCCAGGGCACAAGAGCCAGGTCTCCCCTGGTCCCCTGCAGACAGCTGGSGTGGGCTGTGCCCCAGCAGTGCCCTGGCACGGGGCACAGAGTTCACCAGTTCTCACCAGTTTCACCAGTTCTCAGTTCTCAAATGGATAAAGGTGTATTGGACACCATGGATAAGGGGCTGCCATCCCACAGCCCAGCTATTTCCCCCTCTCTGGCGCCCAGGGACATGCCTCCTCCGGCCTGCTGTGGGGCTCCTGGCTCTGTCCATCCCCCCGTGTCCCCTGTGCCATCCATTCCGACGGGATCGCCCTCTTGGCCAGCTCCACATAGACACCRTTGTTGTCCTGGCAGTGAGAGGGGTGCTGCAGGGAGCAAAGGACAGGGTGAGAGCCTCACCAGAGGTGTCAGGGTGTGTTTGGAGGGGGCAGGGGGTGCTGGGGTCTGGCACGAGGAGTGGGGACAGCGCTGTGGGGTCCCACCATGCTGCTGCTCACCATGGTTATGTACGTGTCCTCTGCTCTCCTCTTCTTCTTCGCTTCCTGCTCAGCCTTGGGTACCTCAGCTCCGGGGATTGAGGAGTAAATTGCTTCCTGCAAGGGGCAGATTGGGGTGTTTGGAACRGAGCCACGGGGTTTGGGACCCGGTTATAGGGAGAGCAGCAAGAGCCATGGCCAGCACAYGGCACCTGGGCAGGGTGGGATCCCCTCCCTCGGCCTCCCAAGCCYGGTGATCCCTCCACTCCCAGCTCTCACCTCTGCCTTGTTCTTGTTGCTGCTCTTCCCCATCCTCTCCAGGGCTGAGGTGGTGGAAAACCTTGAGGGAAGGTGGCAGCAGTGTCACCTCTGGCGAGAAGCATCGCCCGCCCCTCCTGTCCC